AGCCGTCCAAAACCAGAGAAAAATGTACACCTTCTCGTTGAGCATGTTCACTGGCAGCACACACTGGGCCGTGTAGCTGTTCCTGGCCCCCATGTGGCGTATGTTCTCGATGAAGCAGTAGCTGATGCGTGGGAAAAACCGAGTCTCGTGCCAATCGCGGCCTTGGATCATGAGGCCGGCCAGTTCGTAGCCGAAATTGCCCATTGTGTCGTTGAAGCCAAGAAAACGTTGCATCAGAAGCAGTTGGCCCACGGAATTGGCAAAGTACATCATTTTTATGATGAAATAGCTGAAAACGAGCCAAGTACCGAGTCGTTTGCTGGCGAAAAGAGGACCGCATATTTGCACGAAATGACGCCGAGCCTCAGCAATCCTGCCTTTACGGAAGTCGCGGTGCTGAAAGAGCATCGCTTCCAGACTTCCGGCCACGTGAAATATCAAGTTCTCGCGCTCTTTCGCAGAAGTATGGCTGGCCCGGTTGGACAAGACGACCAGATGCTCAAGATCAGTCCCAGTACGGTTGTAGCAAACCACCTGCCAGACGACGCGTGGCAAGTAGAAGAGTATGCACTGCAGACCCAACATGAACGGCACCCATTGGTAATAATCTAAAATCGCAATGATAAGATTTTACGTAAATTCATCATACTACTTATATAGGGCATATAACTTTGATTGTTAAATTATTTTACACTGTTGAACAGCATTTGAAGAAATGCTGTCCGAGATTCTCTGTCCTCGTAGTTATCACAATTTCCAGTTTTGGGCCGATGTTTAGCCGACATTGCCAGTGGATCTTGTCAATTTTAGTAGCAAGATAATAACTCGTAAAAAAAACAACTGAAATCAATCCATTGACCAACTTTCTATCGAACAGTTGAACTGTTCTGATACATATTCCTACTCCTGCCTTATCACAACTTCTGATGTGGTCATGTTCAACTCCTACAGAAGTGTACCCCTTTTGGCTGGTTAAGTGTGGCGTCATCACACTTGATTTTACCCTGCCTCCCTCTTGATCCGCTGATCCGACTCGAACCTCCTATTCGAAACTACCTCATGGGTCGACTATTATGCCGGCGAAACGTCTGAGAATATACCAAATCCACGATCCGATGTTGGGAATTATGATAACATCTCCGTTTAAGGTGATGAAGGACTGGTATTTGAATTTTCCCACATTCATATGGGTAGAGCTGAGGTTTCCATTTAATTTTGCATAGCTTCCCATAAGTCATTCTCCCTCGCCTGAAAAATTGCCATTGTTACTCCCAGCGGGACTCGAACTATGACAATGCAGCGTATAATCCCGACACGTTCACAACTACGCCAGCTTGGACAGCTATGCTTTTCCAAGAAGACCAAGCATTTTATCATATCACATTCTGTGGTGGAATTGTGGATAAAGCAAAATTGTATCTGCTATAGAAATCAACTAAAGTGCTTATTTTTCGTATTATAATTATGTATTCGAAACTACCAATTGATCATTTATGATATGTGTCCTTCTTGAAATTCACATAAACCCTGTGGCCCAAGGGCCCTCGTGGCAGTCTGGCCTAGTGGTAAATATGTGCAGCTTATGCGCTGCACTGTCAGAATTCGAGTCCCGCTGAGGGTGCTGGTGAGTCCCGGGTGGGATCGAATTGTAACCCACTCTGGATGAAAATACCTTTTAAAAAAGCAAGGCTATATTAAATTAAATGGAAACTCTAGGTCTACTTTTAGCATTGTGTGAATTTTCAACTTTCAGTCCTTCATCACTTTAACCCAAATAGGATGAGCATATCTCATATATTTGATTTACTGGTAATCTCGAAACCCTACTTACAAACGGAGAATTATGATAGCTACTATAACAGAAGACCTCGGACAGAAAGTGATATATCAGGTCAAGAACAAGTTGTGAAAACATGTTTAGAACACTTTAATACATCGAAAGGAGACTGGCGCCGCCAAAGAGGCTACAGCATTTTGGTCTTCATGTCTACGCTTAGAATGAATGCCATTGTTTTCTTTTTTTTCAAAAAGTTGACTTAAAGGAGTTTGCAAATTCGTTATGCCCTGGAAACCGAAGAAGGGTTAATTAGTGTGTACAAATAAGTCTAGCGATTAACAATGGAGAAGGGTGTGTTGAAGATTAATTAGAATATATCAAGTCACAATTGCAAGACAATTCCTTCCTTCTCGGCTTTGTATGGGGCCAATTTACGATTATCCTTCTTCCATATCTTTAGATGTAATCAAAGACTGAACGACTAGTTGGGCAATTTAAAGTCTGCTTACTTATTCTGTGCGTCTTATCCAGTTCCGCCCATTTCTCGGATTTCTGTGGGATCATTTCTTTGGCCAGAATCGGGATGGTTCCGTGGACCCAGCAGTAATTCTCCAAGAACTTGTCAAAATCCGATCCCGATGGTACAGTGGGCACGTAGCATGCGATGGCGGCCAAAAGGTATTGTTTAACAGCGATGATCATGGTGCAAAGACTCAGCACCACTACAGAGTAGAGAAAAGACAATTTGTCGGCAAAGTCTTCCACTCCGGTGTAGTCTGTCACCTTCAGTCTGGTGAGAGTGTCGATGAATTGTGTCCCGAGCATCTTGGCAGCGTCTCAGTTGCTTGCAGGAGACAAATGGTGGCAGAGAAGAGAGACCGGTTTGCAGACTCCCAGCTCCTGTCAATCAAACAGAGAAGAGACACATTTTATTAACTTGTTCATTATAACAAGTCTTGCACACAAAGACTTGTATCGTTCACTTGAGTTGCAGCGTCGACGTGCATTCTTGCCCTCACATGAGCTGGCTTCTTTCGTTAAAAAGACGAAAAGCATCGAGTGCAATTTGTTATTCGACAACATGACACAATGACGCTCCTGAAGATGTGAACATATCGAGTCAACTGGTCAGCACTCATTTACCCGATCGACAACTTCCGATAACCCAATTGGTGTCCTGTTAAAATGGGGACACTAAAATGACAGTGTTAAAATGCATTCGGTGGTGAAATAAGAAACATGTCTGAATTTCTGGATACAACATAAACTAATTTGGGTGGCCAAAATATCAGTCTCCGTGAGTGAAATTGGTAGAATGTGCAATTTTGCCTCGCTTTTGGTTTCATGCAACCAATGTATGCATTTTTGTTTTTCGTTTAGTTATAATTTTAGTTAGCATTGTCTTAACTAGCCAGTTTGGTGGAGCATCCAGAACTGCATTACAGTTATAGTCTTCTGCAGACTTGCTTTGCCGCTGATCGTGTATCCACCAGAAGTAATGAACAGGTCAATCCTTTCGGTATATGATATGAACTTTCATTTCGAAAGCAAGGATGGTTGCAAGGAGTTCGTGTTGTGGTCTCGCCGGAAACCGAAGGAGAATTGCCGCGTAGTGAAGACTGTTGGATTTTGCATTTCCGGTCACTCATCTGCAAGCATGTAGAGTAAGTTTGAAGTAGCCAACTAAATCAAGGTTTGCCTCATAAATATCGTAAGGTTAGGTACATAAAAATGCGAATATGGTTGCAGCCGGCCACTTATCTCTTGGAGATACGAAGAGAAACGGAGGTTTGATGAAACTACTGAGATAACATTGTTAGGGGGACTTTCATTTCATTAGAAATTGCATGAAGAAGAGATTTGTAGGACAGCTGAATACCGTAGTACTCGAGCCGTTTGGCTTTTATACGACGTTCAGGTTGACACAATCCATGAGACTTGCTCCCTCGTTTAGGGAAAATCGGGATAAGCTTTTATTCATCATTCGATGGACATCCTCAGAACTTGGTCTTATTCTTGTAAAAATCTCACGTTAACATTTGGGCAAGAAGACTATCCGGCTATATCTTACCTGTTATATAAACTCAATTAGACCAAGAGACAATTAAAAATCTAGATAGATATATAGATGGATAGATAGATAGATAGATAGATAGATA